AAATTCGAGAAAACAGTCGAAGGTCGCAGAAGCCTTAGACAATGCAGGATGCCCACGCAACCAGACCTCTTCAACGACGGATTGGCTCTTTTGCACCTGATTTTCGAACGCTAGAGCCAATCCGCGTTTGCCACAGGCGCCTCCCCCTCCCTCATTCATTTTCCAACGAGCACGTATCCCACCTGATGCGGTCATCGCCGGTCCAAGAAAACGTTACCTTTATCAAAACCTTCACGGCCTGCTACATCCACCGTTCATCACCGTTGTATTTCTTCCATCACGTCCTCGTGAAGGCTCTTTCTCGACGGTCTAAAATTCGTTTCACTATTGCTGCTGATTTCCACGGATTAGTCGAAGCACTAAATTACGAAAACTTCTCGCACTTTCTGTTTCGAAAGCAATCTTCCACTTGCTGAAATTCTCCTATTCATCAAAGTTTCCCACGACCTCAGCGTAGGCGGATTTTGGCTTCCGTCATACATCACAGAGATGTTGCTTACACCGCAGTGTAGCTCAAACTTGGCCACACCGGATGATACGCAATTTGACGGAGTAACCGTTAGCCACGGTATGGTCTCTTGCAGTGCTGAAAATAAAATATGAATTTAATTAAAATTTTAATCTTTGCGGGGGCCGCTCACCAACGTTTAGTCCATCACCTTCCTACAGTGTTGAAAGGTCATACGGGGTCTCCTCGTGCCGGCCACTTCAACTGTCCTTTCTTTTTAGGATCACGGAGCTCTGCACTTCGACTTCTGCGACTCGCAACCACTGAACCTTGCTCATGTAGGTTGCACACAGGAAAATCGCGCGTTCCACGTTCTGTCGAACCGAATCGTTCGGTAATGCAAGATTTTGGTTGGTCGTTGGAGCATCCACGTACACAGCTTCATCTACTGGGATCGACAATGCTGCATGCATATAACTGATTGACCCATCGGTAACCTCCGTCCTCTGTGTTGCTGTCCCAGTTCCAGTGACAGCTGTTCGTGAGTTCCCCTTTGTCCGTGCCTCTAGCGACGACCCTGTTTCACGCTGGCCTTCCGTAGGCTCTACGCTCGACCTACCCACTTTTTCACTGCTCAGATTTGCAATCTGGCAGGATCTGTTTCCTCCTAGCCTTCGTTACAGAAATGAGGATCCCAAATTTTGAGAGCATTGTGCAGAAAATAATCCTCTTGGCTACAGTGAAACATTGACGCCTTGACCTCACGAGACTGGTGGATCACAACATCAAAAAAGGCCGCCTTTCGTTGATCGACTAATTTTTTAATCGTCTTTTTTTGGTTCCATGAGTCAATTAAATGTGCCTCATATTTTGCAACTCAACGTGTTCTTCCCCTGTTATCAAAGTAGTCCTCATTTTGGGTGCGCCACGAACAACAGCGACGCTCTTCCAACATTCTGTATTTTCTACCTCCATACCTGACCAACTGATTTGACCATCCGATCATCCCAGCCTGTTCCTGGACGACCGACTCGACATTGGTGGTCCAGCGAAGCCAGTTTGTAATACACTGCTTGTCTTTCAGGCTAGCCACGTGAACAGACCATCTCCTCTTGGTGTTGTAGAAAGTAGAAATTACCAGCCAGTTGTCGACTTGTGCACTCGAAACGTCTTCCCAGGGGGACATTGCGCGCATTTCCATCACTATGCGTGAAGATCAGTTTGTTCTCCTCAGCTTAAGCAGGATCAAATTAAGAAAATATTACGTGAAGAGCTGTCTGAATTCAAGAGAGTTGGAGAATTTTCAGACCAGATATTCACAATGATACAACTAAATGACGAATGACTCATCAAAGACCAGATTTGGCCTTATAGCACAGTTTCCTCACTCCTGGCTGTACAAAGAGCATTCAAGCAAGCCGCGACTCCATGGCTCTATTTAAACACCACTAGTTACTTGCTTAGATGACTCCTCCCTAGACAACTAGGAGCAAGGGGGGGGGGAACAATGCAATTAATAGTGAAAATTGGTCTTTGACGGGGCATTCGCATTCGTTATCTGGCATAATCGAGCGTATGAATAGCTTGTGACGTGTAATACAGATTTTGGTAAAGAACAGAAAATGGGGATAGAAATTATTTGCAATCTTCGTTGATTGCACTAAAGCGTTTGGCTCAATCTGGAAAGGTGCCTTGAGGAAAAAATTGGTAAATAGTAAGGAATCCCACAAACGATCATTTGCAACGATAATCCTTCGTCAAGTACGGTGTAAATCGATGGCAGGTTCGGCAGATTCTTTCGTCAGAGTTTGGAAAAAGGCAAAAAAAGAAATGTCCTTTGCTGTTGGCCATGCTCTAGAGTCAATGTATAGGAGTGGAGCAACAGTGACAAGACTCGTAAACTCTCTTGCACTGTTGGATGATATCCTAGTACTTGCGGATAATTTCGAAGCTATATCATCACTGTCCTAATTGTGAAACTGAGGTGTTCTGGACTGAATCTTTGGATTAAATTAATGAGGACGAAGTAAATAGAATCTGGTAGAATTCAGACCATCGACGTTTGACCCTTGATTCAGAAGTTACACAAAAGATACGAAGATATCTGTATTTTTTGAGTACGTCGGCTTCAGACAGATCAAGCTGAAACGAAAGACCAGATGTTCCCAATAGCACAAAGCGATGAACATACGGCGCTTGCATTCTGTAGGTCTTGCTCCATGGCCTGGAGACGATAGCGTTTAATAAAGCTGAAAACAAGGAACGTGAACAGACAGAAATTGAAATTTCAGAATCAATATTAGGAATATGGAACGATTTGGCATCAGATCGGGGTGTACGAGTGAGAGTAGTATACTAACTAAAACGAGCTATACTAACTAACTGGCTGCAAAGAAGACATTTGAGGGCGGAGGTCATTGCCAACGAACGGATGATAGTTGCCTTGTAAAGCTAATACTAAACGGAAAGCCTGATAGCAGGCGGCCACAATGGACACCATTAAGTTGTGAAGATCTCGTAACAGTGAACATGGAATCCAAACTAACGCGTGCATAATTCGATCCGGATTGAAAGTCTGTACTCAATCCAGCGTAGCTTTTCATGCAGCCGGATAGAAAGTAAAAAATGAAAGGATTTCTTGAATTCTTTCCGTTCAGTCAGACCATGGCCTTGATTCAATAGCCTCAGGGACTTTCTACGTTCCAACAGCGTATCGACGTAAAGCTGCGTCATTGCGTTAGGCTGAGGGAAAACATTCGAAGACTTACCAATTTACATAGATCCGCTTGAATATGCATAAAACAAAGGCGCGGTGCTGACTTGCGTTATCAAAAACTAGGTTATCCTATCAAACTCTGAATCTCATCAGTACTTTCTGTCTATGCGAGGATTTGTATTTTTCAGTTTATTTACATTTCGTCGATATGCGATCACAGACCATCAGTCCATATTATCCGCAGCAGGCCATATGAAATGTCTGAACAGACACATAAAATTAACGCACATAAGAGCGAGCAGAATTCAGACAAACCGACAGTCCACAATTTTCCTCAAATCTGTCGTAAGTCATTAGTGGCTACTTACTAATTATGTGGGAAATAAACGAAACGTGACAAGTCGACCTTAAAACGCATATGCAGAAGTTACGCTCAAGTTTACGAAACCTGTTTACTCGACAGAGTACACCCGTAAGTAAGTTTCACTCACCGCTGACGTAACGGCCAAGCACAAAACAAGAAGAGTGCAGAACACCGTCAACAACCTGCCGTCCATTACAACGTCTCACTGCCTCTTGAAAGCGACTCCGCAGCAACACCGGCTTAGCGTTCGGACAGTTTTTACGAGTTTAGAGGCGAACGTTCAAAACCTGCTCCCACTCGCCCCATCAGCTGGATAATGACTCCAAGTTCTACCGTAAGATTCATCGTCGTTTCTGTTTCTTTTCCCAGCCAAGTACACCTGGGCAGATTCACGTTCTTCGATGATTGACGCTAATATAGAAAACATAGTCATAACATGGTCCATGGCCACTTCTTCCATTAAAAAATTCGTCGCCCTGCTGCTGTCGATTTCCATGGATTAGTCGAAAAAACGGCAGGACATGAATCATAAAATTATGCAGAATTTGACGCACGTTCTTTTTCGACAGCTGTCTGCCGCCGGGCAAATCTCTGCCATTCACAATATTTTCCACTACTTCATTGCATGCGGTATTCATAACATTATTTCAATGCATTGCATGCACTTCCTTCAAGTTGTGTATCAGAACGGACGGCATGATCCCAGTAGTGAACGGCGCTTGCCACTTCGCATAAGGCTGTTTGCCTCGGTTCTGGCGAAACTTCTTTTTCTGGACCCCGTCACACGTTGCTTATACCGTTGTCTAACCGGCAAATTTCTACGTCCGGCGATGCGCCACCTAGCGGCATATCCGCTGCTGATTCAGACTCAGTTCCCAACGACAATATGCTCTCCATCGGCGTTGAAGATGTTCCTCACATCACATTTTAGTTCACCATTTTCTTGCAGCATCTAGAGATTCAGCTGCGTATCCCTGTACCAACTACTTTGATTGACGCTGTCTTTAGAGCCTTAGGGTCACAGAGTGTGTTGTGGGCATCTGCAACTGGTAGCCCCGAATCTTGCTGATGAACGCGCTGTCCACAGAAACATGAAATGTTCCTCTTTTCCCATCGAACATGAACCATTGGGTAGTTCAAGTTTTCGTTTGACCTTTGTGGCATCTACATTCATTACAGTAGTGGTTTCATCTACTGGCTTGCAAGAGACACCTGTGCTTAGTGACCTTGCGCTGTTGTAACCGCAGCTGCTTTTAGTTCAGGTACAATCGAGGTCACAAATGAAAAATGGAAATGAATGGTATGGCAATGATGAATTTTTGTGGTAGATGACACTCCAATTTCAGCTGATTGTTCGAGGAGGTCAGCGAAATTGGTTAACATGCTAATCACAGCTGCAGCTGTGGGATTATCTGGTGCATTTCCCTGATTTACGTCGAAAACCAGCGAACACTATTAGCAAAAAGGTGGAAGTCACTGACAATCTAGCTGTGTGGAAGAGCGACCTGGAAACGTTAAGAACTACACGCTTATTTCATGGACTACGAAGGGTTGAAAAACAAAAAATATTAATTTTGCTCTTTATTAGAAATTGAGAACCTGAGGTTGTCGTGGGATCATCTGGTGAATTGCCCAGATTTATGTCGAAAACCAGCGAACACTGTTAGCAAAAAAGTGGAAGTTACTGACAATCTAGCTGCGCAGAAGAGCGACCTGGAAACGCTAAGAACTACCCGCTCGAAGGGTTGAAAAACAAAAAATATTAATGTTGCTCGTTATTAGAAATTGAAAACCTGAGGTTGTAGATCCCGGCCAATGCTGACAGTCGAAGAACAAAATCACGCCTTGAATTATTTTAAATTCTGCCGCCTATGAGCATTGGGGTGCTAAGGCAACTACAAATATAGTTGGAGATGGAGAAGGGCAGAAAACCTGTGTATTTTAATAACCCCGTTATGGTAGCACATTTGCAGTGCTAATCAGAGACCAGCAGCAGCATTCAAGGGTTGAAAACCAAATGAAAAATTTTCTTACAGTATGATTACAGGATATATTAAGGTTAACTGTTTGCGCTTTTTTAATTAAAAAATTTTTTTCCAAGCCAGTCAGAGGGAGGGTCAAACATTTTTAATTTGCGTCTGAAACAAAAATGTAATTTCAGCGGTAATAAACACAAATCTAAGACCGATGGTGAAGTCCTTATTTCAGTTGTCGACCCTTCAGCCGAATGTTTCTGAGTACTGGCCATTTTCAGGGGGAAAATTCTGACTGCCCTGAAGGCCGCTGATGTTGTTCAGCTGAAATGTCAGCATTAATTGTCATTAATGTCAGTAATTAGGATAATGACTGTAATATTGATCTTTTGTTTTGTTCATGTTCTGTTTTGAAATTATACGTATTATCGGTAGCTTACACGGAAAAAATTAGATATCATAAATAAAAGTGCAACGCTTATGGAGGAAATCGGAAAGCTACTACATGATATCTACCTCAGAATAGGTATATGGGTTGTTTGGTCCATATAATGGATCATGGATAGTGAAAATTTAGTTTGTACTCGAATTAGCTTATGTTCAACCCAACTCAAAGATGCATTCAGCATACATAGCAGGGACAGAAATCCAGTTTATTAGAAGCAACAGGGGAGTGTGCTTACGTTGAGTAAGCATGGTAGAGGAAATAAAAATTTTGAATCGCTTTTACTAGAAGGAACATAATTAAAATAAATTTTCGAAACCCTTGAAAATGCAAAATTATGCACCAGAGTCAAGCCATTGTCTACATACACTAGGTTGTTTATTTAAATGGTTGCTTTCATAACTGGTCGACTGAAAACTGTTGTGAAAAGACAGTATAGCCCAAATTTACGGACACAGTGACCAAACGTTGTGAGCTAATGTTTAAAACGATGGTCTTTGATAATTCGGCATTCATCATCCGTACTGTAGGCCACCTCGTTGCCGTTTTCAGCACATTTGCAGCCATTCTTCGGTCTTGGGAAGCAATGAGGTCTTAAGTTGTGAAATCTACTCTTCAGTTCATTAAGAACCTGCCTATGGCGCTCTCGTGTATTTTCTTCAATCTGCTTCCCCGTCTCTTCGGTTAAAGGTCCTCTTTTGACCGTTTGTTCGTCGGGCCGTTGATCTCGTTTGGTGCGTTCCTTCAACGAACCTTTGCAGTAATTTTTTAAACGTACAGTTTACACAAACAGATATATATGTGACAAGAGGATGACGCTAAGTATTTTACAATGGCAATACAATAATGATATAATTTTCTTTCCCATAACATTTCGTTATTTTTCTGGTATAGGACAGAAATTGAGTTTTAATCACAAACTATCTGTATATGTACCGTTAATGACTCAAATGTTATTAGACAGCTGACAAAAATAGAAGTTTTCAATGCTGCCTGTCGTCGGACTTACAAGGTGTAATCTCACCGTACCATTGCTTCTAGATATCTAGGGGCCTCTTCAGCAGACCATGGTAATAGGGTATTGAATAGTTGCTATGACACCTCGAACAGAAATGGGTCAAGCAATGGCAGTCGTTTTACAATATCTGGGTCATCTGTTGTGCAAATAATGTATGTGAATTTTCAGTTACTGCTCGAGCGGTCTTTGCTCAGACCAGCGCAGTTGGTGTTCGAACGTTTGCTCGTTCGACCTTACGTTGACACGTGGCACAACCTTTATGTCCTTATGCACTGCAGTTGCCCATATGACATGAAACCGTAAAAGCAGGGGAATGGTGCGAAGCCGTGTAAAACCAAAAGCCGGTGAAGGAATAGGCCGATGTGCCATATTCGCTCGTGTATTTTACACATCCAATGTGGAAGCGATTGCATTTACAAGCTGAACGGTCTTCGATCGTTTTCCACAAATACTGATAGCCTTATGGAGTTTAACGGTGTTCACAGAAGTTGTCTGATTCAGAGAAGGTGTCCAGCTAGTAATCTGACCAGGAACGCTTGTTTCTGCATGGGAGGATATCTTAATGCAAACCTAACTGAAAATCCGAAATAATGGAACACTTTTTGACAT